TGGGGGACAGACAACAGAAAAGTGGGTGAAAGGAGATGTTGGACAGAGAAAGATATGACAAAATAATAATTTATAAATTATCAAGGGTTCATGAGGGAGTGGGGAGTGGAGAGGGAGGGGAAAAATGAGGACCTGATACCAGGGGCTTAAGTGGAAAGGAAATGTTTTGAGAATGATGAGGGCAATGAATGTACAAATGTGCCTTACACAATTGATGCTTGTATATTGTGATAAGAGTTGTATAAGCCCCTAATAAAACAATTTTAAAAAGTGAGGAGCAGATACCAAGGGCCCCAGTAGAAAGAAAATGTTTTAAAAATAATAATGGCAACAAATGCTCAATTGATGTATGGATTGTTATAAGAGCTGTAAGAACCCCTAATAAAATGATCTATTAAAAAAAAGTATTAACCAAAAAAAAAAAAAACCCCAAATGGTAGGTAGTTGAACCCCCAATATAGCCCTCTACTTCAGTCCAGAATTCCAGAATCCCAAAACTTACAGCTATCTTATGAGAATTTCGAACTGAACATACCAAAAACAAAACACAGTATCTTTCCCCCGAGTCACATACATGCACACACACATGCACGCACGGATTAAAGTTCAATTACATAAATTCTGCATCTCAGTTCATGATCATCATTCATCAGATTTTCCAATGATAGAAACTTTTGTCATTCTCAACTAATGATTCAATATACTTCTGCTGCCATGGAAGTCATCAATATAAAAGTTCATGGAAGGGTTCCTCCAACGAATACGGCTTGCCTACTATGTGCCCATCACTGTAGAGAGAGCAGGAAACAAAGAAAAGTCCCTGCCCTCGTGGAGCTGCCCTTCTGGGAGACAATAAAAAAGCAACAACCATAATATCAGCCACACACCTACACACTCGCATGTGTGTGTGTATACACATATGTATAATGCCAACTGGTAATAAGCACTATGAAGAAAATAAAGTCAAGTAAGGTTGTGAGAACAAAATATGTGTCATATGTCCACATAATACATTATTACTCAGCAATAAAAAAGGAAAGCTGCATGGGTGCCTGTTACCTACTACTTTGATGAATTTCAGACACATTATGCTAAGTGAAAGAAGCCAGATATTTTTAAAGTACATATTCTGTGGTTCCATTTATATAAAACTTTAGAAACCAATCATTAGTGACATAAAGCAGGTCAGTAGTTGCTGGAGCAGGGGTCGAGGGTAAGGAAAGGAGCAAAAGAGGGATTACAAAGAGTAGTAAGGCAATTGGAGGGGGCTGAGGAAAACATTATCTTGATCCATGCACATATGAGTACATGCTACAGTTATGTGAAGATTATTGTGTGCCAATTATACCTCAAGAAAGTGGCTCAGTTAAACAAAATGTTTATAAAATAAATAAGGGAGCTAGAGTGGTCTTGTCTGGGGGATGGTTGTACTTTATATAGGGTAGGCTTCTTTATATTAGGTATCAACCAAACAGAGATCTGAGGGATGAGAGAGTGTGTTCCATAATTTCATATCCTCTATCAATATTAGCCAATATTAGGGTTCGATGAATATTAAGCCCAAACTCCTTCCTCTTCTGCAACTGCCATTTTACTCAAATTGTCCCT